TGCGCAAAAAAATTATTAAAGATTCGATTAAAAAACCTGAAGTCGCCTGAAAAACTTCAACAGAAAATCAATTTGCCATCCGATTTACTTTTTGAACTAACTTATATATTTTTTAAAGTTTCATAACTTTAATAGCTTGCCTAAAAAAACTTTACTTTTTTGCGAATTGATTCGCTCTGTGAAACAAGTTGAAATATTTCAATGTTTTTTTTTCGCTTGAAGAGCCTCCATATAAAAACCTTAAGTTGTGCCATCCGATTTGCTTCATGAAACATTTTGAAAGATTTCAAAGTTCCATAGCTTGAATAGCTTGCTTAGAAAAAGTTCAATTTTTCGGGAACCGATTCGTTCTATGAAACATAAAGTTTTTCAAACCGTTTTACGATATGGTTAACTTGAAATTGTTCAAAGTTTCTTTGCTTGGATACCTTGATCAGAAAACAACTAATTTTATGCGAGCCAATTGGTTATTGTAGGCGGGCTTGCTAGTATTCTTTTAATAATTTGCGCTCAAGTTGTGTTTGTTGTGAAAACCAAACAATGCAAACGAAGACAAAGTACAGAGGTTTAAAGAACCTGCCGGGAGTTTTTAAAAATAGTCGTTGAGGTAACTGGAAAAAGTAAACCAGAAAAAGCAAACGAAGACTAAACACCGAGGCTAGAAGGAAATGCAGGGAATTTTCAAACCCTAAAGAGCCAAAAGAAGGTTTTGACCTTTTGATGACCGATAAGTTGAAAGCTTCAAAAGCTGTTTTTCATTAGCTAAAAAGATGAAGCAAGAAGCAGTGTAGCAAGGAAAAGACGAAAAATATTGATGTCAGTTTTTTTTAGAGAAAATGTTAAAATAGATGAATTTTGTGAGATTTTACAAGGTTTTGAATCTTAATTTTATATAGATTGTTTCAATTTCAAATATGTTTTCTTGAAGATTTCAATCAACGAAATTGCTCCAGTAACGAAAGAATTTTTTTAAAATGTTTTTGAAAAATCATTTTTCCACCCTGTTTCAGAACTCAAAATTAATTAGGATTCTTAAAAAGGATCAGGTTTGTTACCAGAAACGTACTGATCAGTTTTAGTTTTTGTTGTAGTAGCCACGCCCAACGCCATCGTCTGCGGGATTTTGTGAGGTAGCTTCTTGCTTGCGTTTTGTTCTGTTTCTTGGTTGCCATTGATATCCAGTACTTCATCTCCATAGTAGATGAATGTTGATTGGGTTTCCGCTAGTCCCTGCCAGTTCCCTTGTCCCCGGCCGAATGGTTTGGTACCGTTTAAGCACTGGACTCGTTTTGATATTTGTGATCCATATTTCGAAGTCAGCTCTTCGTCGTTGTCGATGTGTGCTGTTTAGAAGTCAGCTTTTTTTTTCGTTATTTGACTGAGATTGGATTCATAAGGGAGTTCAGCTCTCCCGCTCCCTCGTGATATCAAGTTTGAGGAATTCAGTAACTACGACGGGATGAAGCCAGAGGTCTTCAGTAGTCAGGCCAGTCGGGATTCGAGTGCAGTTGAATGCATGATGGACATCGTGCGGCCTCTCATTACAGTCTGGACAGGAATTTTGTACCCCCTTTTTTACGGCTTAGGTTTGAGTTAGTGAGAAGACTGTACACGAAGTGGAGTTGAGCAAGCCGTATGCGCGCTATCAGCGGTAATTCAGATTCCATGTCAGATATTTGAGGCGGTACACGTTCCAAGAGCACTGAAGGCTTGAGGTAGTTTTTAACCTCGTTGTAATGGATAACCTTCAGAGCTTGCCATTAGTTTTTACGACTTATTAAACCGTCATCCAGATGTTGCTGGGTTTCAACTCCGTAGGTGGCGCGGATGGTGGGTTTGATGAGTCGCTCGACTGGATGTTGGGTTGTCTGATAGTCGGAACGTTGACTCTGGTGACATTCGACAAGAAATTTTTTTGCCAGCATATCTGTGAGTATTTACAGGCAAGACTTTTGTTTCCCTGTGAAGGTCATCAATATTTTTCATCTTCACATAATCAGTTATTGTTCTAAGGGCAATGTTTTGTTGAACTTGGAGGTTGTTCCAGTTTGTATTTTTTTTTGATAGAGACGAGATTGGTGCTTCATAGTTAAGCGTACTGCGCCCGAAGGCCTTGTATGTCACTGTCAGTGTTTCTTTGGAACAACCCAAGTCATTGCCGGACAATTTTTTTTAATGAAATTACGCTTTTGTAATTTGTCTGTGGTGGTTTTGAACTGTTCATTGAAACTAAGTAGGCCGTTAAAGACCACGCCTAACAGTCTGGGTTTTGACTTAAGCCGACTAGGTACTCTGTTAATTTCAAGCTTGGGGTCAAAGGATAATTCCATAGTCCAAGTTGCAAAGATGGTTGATGATGACTTGTCGGCGGAGAGTTGCAAGTTCCCATTGGTGAGCCAGCTGAGCAGCTCTCCTAGGCACGGCGTGATTTGGCCCTTAAGTTCATCTACCTTCGAATTTAAAGCCATCAGAGTTATTTCATCACCGTAAGTAACAATTTAAACCCGATCTGGCTGGAGGGGGAGCTTGCTCATGTAAATAATAAAGAGAATTGGTGATAATACTTCTCCTTGTGGTACCCCTTGTTTGACTTTTTTGAGTTCGACTTTTTATTCCGATACTCAACATAGGTGAACCGACCCTGTAATTATGAAGTTTTCCAGCGTTTGGTGCTGTTGAACACATCCGCTTTCAAAACATCAGTGAGTAGTATGTTATGGTCAACCGTATCAAAGGCGGCGGTGAGGTCAAAGGCTACTAAAAGTGTACAATCTTATGGTTTGTGTTTGTTGTGACCTAGCTCGATGTTGTAAGTTATGATTTTCAGAGCTGTTGTTGTTGAATGTTCGACGCTGAAGCCATGTTGGTGTTCTGCTAGGGGAAAATTGAAAAAGTCATTTAGCAGCAGCCTTTCAATCTCCTAAGCAATTAGGAAAAGTATTGCGATCGGTGGGAAACTTTTGGAATCATCGACCGGTTTACAGCGGAATAATCCTTACTATTTTCCACACATTTGGTATGGTAGGTGATCAGTTTTTTTACTTCCCGCTCTTGGTGAAGTTTTTGAAAAAATGAATTATACAGAAATGTACTAGTTTTTCAGGGCATTAAATATCGGACAGAATACTCATTTTGGCTTCAAGGAAGATCAAAGTTCAATTGACGCCGTAGTGTCACCTATTGAAAAAACCGGATTTGAATGGGGCAATCCAAAGAAAACAAGAGTCTTTTTCTTATTCTTGTAAATTTTGGTCATGGTCAGTCATGTACAAATTCTAGGGCCGCGTGATCCAACTCTCAAACTGCTGACATATTACTGTGAAAACAGGACAGAGCTTACGTATCAAAATAAAAAAAAATCATCTATACAAAAGCATCTGTTGGTGTGCCGCAAGGATCAGTGATAGGTCCGATTTTTGTCTATTCAAGTGATTTTTGTCTCAAAATACAAAGACCTATTTCTTGGCTGATGACACCTAAATGTCAACTTCAGCATCAAGCAGCCTTGTATGAAATTGAGAATATGATAAAAAGAAAAAGGTTTAAAACGTAGTTTAAAAGGTGGTTTTTGAAGTGAAAATTTGTCGAACTGATATTGTTAACATGAGTTAATAAGGCAATAAAAATTAACAAAGATATGATCTTCCTACAGCACGTTTATTTATATTCACGGAAATAATTGAATAGATTTTGTGGTTTGGTCTATCAAATGCTCAATAACAAACGAGTTGCAACGACCCAGAAACAAACAAACTTCAACAAAGTGCTTTTTATTTGGACCTAACTGTGTATTGAATCCAAGAAGAAATTCAAGAAATTTAACAACCTGTGAAATTTACATAAAATCTTACTTCATATAAGTAGAAGAAAAATGTTCTGTTGTTTTAAAGTATTTTTTGCTGTGAATTTACCTGAAAATTTCCTAAACGGCCGCGAACAAACTGAACCACCTTTTGTAATTCTTTTTAATCAATGGCAATCTAATGAACATATTGAACCAGGGGCTGATCTAGGATTTTCTCAAGGGGGGTGGGCGGATTTTCAAAAAATTTTTGACAATTTTGACGACCTTTTTTTTTAGGTCGAACAAATTGATTTTTCGAGCTCTCCCAAACCACTGTTTTTCCCCTATTTTGGTTATTCAGCGCCGCAGGCAAATTTAAAAAAAACTGTCATAAAAGCCGTTTTTGGGCACTTTTTAAAAAACTTTTACAAAAAAAATTGGCGCGTTTTTTTTGGCGCGTGCTCCCCCTCAAAGGGAGTATATATTGGCGCCAAAGGCGCCTTTAGAAAAATTTTAGGGTCGGTCGGCCAAAAATGGATTTCTTAAAAAGTATCAAAGGGGGGACCCTTTGGGTCGGCAGGGGGTCGAATCCCTGAGGGGGAGGGGGCATCCGCCCCCCGCCCCCCACCTAAATCCGCCCCTGTATTGAACAGCTAGGTAAGCTAAGATCTCATGATTGTCTTGAATTTTTCTCTTAGTTCTTCCGACTTTAAAAAAAAAAGAATGCTCTTTTTTACATTTTTGTCATCACCGATAAAAATAGAATGGAAGCTTAAAAGTTTTGGATATGAAATAAATTTGCGCTCATAGACATCTGAAATTGGACCAGAAGGACTCAGGCTGACAACGATTGCTCAGGATAAAGTTAAATGATTGTAAATGCGGTTTATAACAAGCATAAACGTTATTTTAGCCTGAAACTAACGTAATGATTTTCATTATCATGATTTTGTTTGCAATGCTACTGTGAAATATAAAACCTTGTTTAGGCGCTAAGTTTTTCATAAGGATTCTAAATTTCATTTTTTTTCTCCCCCACAAAACGACGAAACAATCAACAAAACAAACTTTTCAAAAATCTTATGAGAAACGAGTAATTTTTGTCAAGGTGACACGCCATGAATTGTATTTCGCAATTTTTGAGTGCACCTTGGCTATTTTCAATTCTTTGCGCATAAATAATAATTTGTTTTTTTTTTTCAGGAAAATATTGGTTGGTTGGTATTAGTACAATGGGAGTAGGAGAGGTGGCATACGCCAATTCAAACTTAGTAGTTACTACGGTGAGAAATGAAACATGAACTTCAAATTAAAGTTCGTATGGTGCTTTGACGGAATGAACCGACAATGCCTTTGTGAAAGCTTGCTTCAACGTTTGTTTAAATACAACATGACGTTATATTAAGCAAGTTTTTGTGATGCTGTGCTCATATTTTCTTTGCAACGTTTTGCATTACTTGGTAAGTCGTATTAAAGTACACTAGTGTATATTTATTGATCTTGAGAGCAAATTTATACGCTCTTTCTCACCGGAAAAATTCAATAGTTGCTCGTGTTGGTTGATTTCATTAATACTACGAATTATTTGACCGGATTTCAAAGATATAACTGTTTTTTTTTTGGATGGTAAGTCTCATTGCAGCTTAAAATATGCATATATTCTGACTACTAATTCTTTCTACAACCTATAATTTTTTGAGGTTCTTATACACTAATTTTTACTCACAAAAAATAAGCTTTTTTGAATTATTTTCATCAATTTTTTTTCGCTGAACTCTCATTATTGTTCCGACTTTCGATACAAAAGTAACGGAATATTTGTGCTCGGGGTGTATTTTTTTTCTTCAGACAAATTTCGACTTTTTAACTAGCCATTTTTGACGGAATTTTTTAATATCAGTAAAAAGGTATTGTTGTCCTGAGCTTAAATTTGAAAAGATATTTTACCTGTGATCAATTTTCGTAAAGTTATGGGGGTTTAAAGATTGGCATTTTGGCCAATTTGGGACAATTAACGCGCGATATATTTCGCGCTATTAACGCGTAAGCGTAGATTTAATCCGTCTTAGAAATCGTTCTAAATTGGTTGAAAGAAGCTTATTTGCCATAATTGATTTGTTACTACAAGCTAAATTTACCACTTTGTACTTTATATGGCGTGTGGGGGGTGGTGATTTTCTTAAAAGGCAGTCGGAACATTCAGGGCTTCGCCCTGATACGAGCAGTCTTGTTTAAGTTCTGGACTCTTTTTTTTGCTTCTGAACTATATTTTTGGTGTTCAATTTAATTTTGTCAAGCACATTAAAAGTTAAGGATATCTAATTTTCCGATCGCGTGAAACCTTCCATCTAGTTCTGACTTCGAGTCTAATTTCATATTTCCTAAAGTTAGTGCTCCGAAAATTCTCAGTGTGGGAAGTAAAAATGGCCGATGGTGAGTTTTTCACCGGAATATCAAGCAGCTCCGAGCAAGCTTGTGAATGCTTGAATTTATTCGAAATCGAAAAACTTCTTTCAAAAAGTTTTCTCAATGTCGAGAAAAACTGATACGAGCATTCTGCGCTACTTGCACAGCAACCGGGCTTACAAGTTTTTAGTGTGATTCATTGGTTGTTGTTCCGACTTTCGATACGAAAGCAACGGAATATTTGTGCTCGGGGTGGGTTTTTTTTTCTTCAGACAAATTTCGACTTTTTAACCAGCCATTTTTGACGGAATTTTTTATATCCTTCGAAAGGTATTGTTGTCCTGAGCTCAAATTTGAAAAGATATTTTACCTGTGATCATTTTTCGTAAAGTTATGGGGGTTTAACGATTGCCATTTTGGCCAATTTGGGACAAATAACGCGCGATATATTTCGCGCTATTAACGCGTGAGCGGAGAATTAATCCGTCTTAAAATCGTTCCAAATTGGTTGAAAGAAGCTTATTTGCCATAATTGATTTGTTACACGGAGCGAAATCTATCTTTTTATACTTTGTATGGTGTGTGGGGGGACGATTTTCACAAAAAAAAAATCAAATTTTAGAAAATTATTTCATTTTATTTTTTCTTACATTTATTTTTTTTAATGTTATTACTGCTCCATAAAACCTTAAAAGGCAGTCGGAACATTCAGGGCTTCGCCCTGATACGAGTAGTCTTGTCTTATTTTCAAAACATCAACTAACATCAAATCCTTTCATTCAAAATCATTGAGAAATCCCTTATTACTGAATAAGTTTTTTAGCATTAGTTTTCTTTTTATTTTCCCCCTCATACTCCTGTATGTTTAATATTTCTTGCGACTACTTCATTAAGTGGATAGTTTATTGCTGACGCAGAGTGTGTTTTTTCCAAGGTTTTCCTCTTGTTTTAAGATATTTCTGAAAGTTTAAAATTTTGAGAAGTGCACAAAAACATAGCTTTTGATTCAATTTCATTTTTTCCAGCCATTAATTTTCTCTATTACCAGAACTTTATTCTCATAAATTTCTGGGTGTTGCACTTGAAAACCAGGTAGAAAGTTTCGAAGAGTTCTTGGAAAAAATTTTTTTTGGTAAGTTTCAAGTTTGTTTGACCGTTGAATAAGCTCTTTTTTGATCAATTTCACTGGGAATCATTTTGTTTTCAACATTTTTAGAGGCTTAAAAACGAAAACATTGTTTTTGTGTATGAATTACGATTTTTTTCTTTAGTATTTGTGAAAAATATTTGTCTTCTTTTTATATCGCAAATAATGCGAAGCTCTGCTTAACCTCTGTTTCAGGTTTTCTGTTTGTAATTCTATAATTATTTGTAGTAAATTTAAATGATGATCGACTGTTTTTTGTGGCTAAGCGGAAATGTTTTTGTTTGATCATTTTTGACCATATTTTTGTACACTAACTCAAAACGACTTTACTGTGACTTGGTGTTCTTCTCCGCCTACTTAAAAACCGGAACTGACTTCATTTTACTGGCACTGTGAATTTCGTTGAAACTAAGAGCATATGCGGTTCCTGATGGTGCAATATATTTTTCCAATCAACTTTCCATTTTTTGTAAAGTACAACTGCAAAAACATAAATTATCTCATTTCGCAGTACCCTGTAATTGAACTCAATCCAAAGTTATTTCACTGTTTGAATGATATAGTTGTTTTTAAAGGCCAGATGATTGGATTATGGATGAAATTACAGCGTCAGAAAATAATGATATTGGTATGGATAAATCCACTGTGATGCTACCATCTGTCGCAAGTGACATTGATGTATTAACAAATGATGTTAGTAGCGATTCAGAAAACAACCATCAATATTCCACAGGTAAAGATGGCGATAATTCGATTACAGGCCAGAGTGAATCTGGGGAAAAACTGAACTCAATGGAAGGAAAATTGAACTTGATCGAAGGAGAAGCCAACCGCAATTCAAGTGCAGGGGATGTGAAAGGATCAATTGAACAGCACGTGAACAACATGTCTGATGGTAGTGAGAGTATTACTGATGGACGGGAAACGGAGGAAGTGTTAAAACAGAAAGAACCCAGTTTGAATACGAATTCTGAGTTTGAAGAGTTAGGGATGCCAATTTCACCAATTAGAGCAATGGCCAAAAATGGTAAGTGCTTTCCAAATCATTATTTTTTTTAGCGTGGTGTCTCTGAAAGGCTATTTTGTTTCAATTTGAACTGTAAATTTGTCCCTGAGAAGAAAGGGGATTTTCAAACATAAAATTTTTCATTTTAATTTAGTGGGTTCAGTATTTTAGACATATAGCATATCATAGTTTGAATAATCACAGACGTTTAAATCGGGTCACATTGTCTAATGACGTTCTCGCAGGCTCGAAACTAATTTGATAAGCCTGAAATTAAATTATTTTTGTTAATGATTATTATTATGATTATTATTATTATTATTATTATTATTATTATTATTATGATTATTATTATTATTATTATTATTATTACTATTACTACTGTTATTAAGGTTATTGGATCTACTTAACAATTGCCCCCCCCTTTTTTTAAGAAAGGGGGCAATTATTTAGTAGATTAAAGTAACGCAATTTTGACCAATCAGATTGCACTTAAATTCGAATTTTGAATAAAAATCTCTAGTGCTATTTACTGCTTTTATTAATAGGGTGACAATTCTTAAGCAGATACCAAAGGGAGGGCAATTGTTAAGTAGATCCAGATTATTTTTATCTTTATTATGGTTGTTATTATTGTGAATTTTGAAAGCTTTTTTGTTAATTGGAAGCCTAAAGTTGGATAGATCCAAAAAAAATTGCTGTCTGATTGCCAATTTGACCAACTTCTTTATAGGGTGTTTTTTGCGAAGAGGACAAATACGGGCGCCATGCTGTATGGCATCTCTTAGTTTTCAGACTTTTTCAATTAAAACAAATAGTCCGTTTTATCCCTCTGATAAAAATGATAATTCTGTTTTTCCAACCTTTTGCTTTTTTCTTCAGTCCACTTGCGTCTTTTTCTTGTGAAATAGCACTGAATATTTTGTTATACTAACGATTTATTCACATAGCCAACATGGATTCAGCGCCTCCTTAGCAGATAAATATAAAAGCCGAAACCACATATGCCTTTGAATCAGAATGGAAACCCTATAACCTGATAGTCTGTTAGTTTTTCTAAATTCAACAGCGCGATTTTTTTGTTGACGTACCTTTGATATACACAACTTAAGTGTTCATAAAAGTTTAATTAAGGTCTAGCTATTGCTTGAAGGCTATGCCAATTCTCTATTCTGCAAGCTGGAGGCTGATTTTTATGTAGGCTTTCCTTGTAGACATTTCCTATTTTTCTAAATGCTCCACAAGGAATTGGTAAAAATTCGCATACCATATACTACATCAATGGGATTTAGCGAGTGTTTATCAAATTTGAACTATCTACTGGAGTTTGGAAGCGTTCAGCTGAAAACTTTTAACTATGAACATGGTCCAAAGTAATAAATCGTAACGCAAATTTCCTGTGTCGCTTTCAAAATTTTTGTTTTATATCTATTTTTGTGCTGTTTTGCAACCTAAAAATGCATTTCAAGCAGCTCAGGATTGGTTTTGATTGATTCTATTTTTCATCCCGGAATTGAATCAAGAGCTTAAAAGCAGAGCCAGATTACTAATTTATTTTTTATTGGAACGGTTCTTTGGTTTGTTTTTTAAATGCCTTGGTACATTCCCTCAGAGTCAGACGAATCTGTTTCTATTACAGATACCCCAACTGAGCCTTCATCTGATTTTGTGACGTCAGAAAAGACTAATTTATCGGTGGATTCCTCAAAAATGATCCCAAATTCGGCCAGAAAAAACATGGAAAATCTGAACATGATGTCGCCTTCAGATTTCGAAGCAACTCTAGCAAATGCTGATTCAAAAAGTTGCAATGAGCCGAAAGTTCATTCGGATACCACACGAGCGGACAGTGTGTCAAGTGGCATCTTTTCTCTAGTATCGGCTGATTCGACTACCAACTCGGCATCCCTGTCGCCCGCTTCTTCCACGAGTAGTGTTGAAATGATGGATCTGGAGCTGAACAAACTGAAGACTTCAACTAAATTCTCCTATGCTACTTTGGTGGCTGTTTTACTCGGTGACACATGTCGGTGAGTAATTATGCGGTTCGATTATTAATCCGACCGATTCACGCAGTGAAGAGAAAAAACTATGTCGTAGGGTCGTTCTTCCGCCCAATTTTAAGCACCTGAATGGAATTTCGTTGGAAGTCAAGTGTGATATCATTTAAGCCCCATTAGTCGTGATTCGGGTTTCAAAAAAAATTAAAAAAGTTGCCTCAGTATCAATATAAATTGGTCTGCATCTTTCAGGTTTTCAGACATTTTCTTGAAATTTGATGGCAGACTGCTGAACTTTTGCTGTTTGATAGCAGATAGCTCATTTTTGCTGCTTGTTGCAGAACTTTTCTTGAATTTTCTCACAAAATTATGGTAGTCGGAACACACTGTTAGCAACCGGTTCTGCTCAATAATTTAAGTAGCCGATTTTTTTTCAATTTGAATGATCACTATTGTTTGTGACGCAGTTTGAAGCTTTTGCCAGCCCTAAAATATAAACTTATTAACGTATCAGAAATGTTCTCCGCAACTTGAATGCTAGATACGTGCCTGTCTTTTTGCCGTTCATTTAGTGCTTAGCTCGGATAGGTCATAATTTTTTTGAAGACGTGATTTTGCGATTTGTTTTTTTTTTTCTTTCTTGTAATTTAATTATCAGTTAATAATTCAATCTCGCCAATTTACAATTTCTTGGCGAGATAAATTTACAATTTACCGGTAAATTTACCGGAAAATCGGTAAATTTACAATTTACCGATTTTCTTGGTGAGATTGAATTGTGATTGAATTCAGGCTGAAAGTGGACAATAAAGAGGTACTTCTGCCGAGTGGGGAGGAGTGTTCTAAGCTGCACGAGAAGTACTTGAGGGAGTTCCTGCATGGCTTGAAGAACCACCTGGAACTACCGGAGAGCATAGAACAGACACTCTACTCACACGCACTTGGTTGGCACTAGTTATAGCTAATATCCTGTACCACCTGAGTTCATTGTACGGTCAGTGCAAATGTACTGCGGCTCCGTAAAGGGTCATCTAAAACGCCAACTATTCATAATTTGATTTATTTTTAACTGGGTAATCCGGGCGTGTAGCAATTAGCATGTGTTAATTGCATCAACTGAGTGTGCTTTCAGACAAAAAGCAAATATGCCTAAAATTTTAAGTAATTTCGAAAACCACTTGATTTGCTAGGGGAGTTAAAAATTCACTTTAACTTTATTAAACATTTGGCTGTGTTCAAAATTGTTAAACAAAACGTGAAATAGCGAATCTTCTAAGTACATTATTGATAATGAGCATGCTAATCGGCTCACATGCTAAAAGGCCGGTCCCGGAGAGGTGGGTATTCACAAGTACCAAAATGATAAAAACTTTTCATGAGTAAAAATTTAATTTTGGGTACATTAAAATTTCTGTTAAGTGCAAGATGTTGAAATAGCAAATTTGAGTAAACAAAACGCGAAGTAGCGAGTCTTCAAAATAAATTCTTTAACATGGGCATGCTAATCGACACTCATGCTAATAGGCAGGTCCGATCCCCGATAAGTTGGCTGGTTGAAAGTTTTCGCGCCCTTACACTTGTTATGAGAATACCCAGACCTCTACGGAAAGTAAAATATAAATCTTTATTTATTTTTTGTTTATTAACCGTTTTACAGCTGCATCGAGATTAATTGAAAGTTCCTATTGGAAAGATAATTAGCTAAGACATTCTACGCACGGTGTAATGGCCACCTGTTTTTAAAGGATACGTGTTGAAATGTTTTAAGTTAATAACTAATTGCTTGTTTAAAAAGTTGTGAACCATAGAACACTTTCTTATTTTGAATGTTTTCATTTTCAGAATCTTGTTCGACTGCAAAAGGTAACGAGGGCTTGAAAATTTATAGAGCTGCGGTTTTAGTTCTGACTTTGCAGATGTAATCAACTGAACTTGAGTTTTGGGTTTTCATCCGTCCTTTAATTCGCATATTGTCGCAGTACAAAAAGGTCGCAAGTTTTAGTTTTGAACCGACGAAATGAGCGAAACTTGAAATACATGGCTGAAGTCGGAACTAACGATAGATGGCGCTCTTTAAAAAGATCCTACTGAAGCAAAATTAGAAAAGAAATTGATAAGATGCGTGTAAATTAACTTCATTGCACTAGCCAGCTTGCGAGCATAGTGTATTAGTAGTACCCTACTTTTTTCCAACCTAACTCTCAAATAAAATTGTTCAATTTAGTGGCACTTTTGCTTTAATCACGATCTGTAGCATTGGAAATTTCATAGCATCTGTTCTCTGCTTTCTTTGTGGCCAGTGTTAGGAGATCGCTAAGCGTCCGTGACCGAGTGGGGAGGACGGCAGACTCTTTATATCGAGGTCGCTGGGTCGAAGTCGTCGCGTAGCAACAGTTTTACGAATTTGATGCTTATTTCTAATTTTTTGTGTTCCACCTTATAGAGCTGATTTTTTTTTGTCGTTTTCTTGCTGGTTTTTGCGAAGCGCAATTTCGCTTCTGTGTTAAAATTTTATATTGTCTTTCTTATTTTACTTCGCGCTGGAGTTCAGGAGATCGCGCTGTTGTTATTTTGCTTTTAACAGAAAATTATATTTTTTCTACTCCAGATTTATTACATGGAAGTCAAATTACACGCGCGAATAACAAAAGCACGAATAGCGGGTAAAATAGGGCTTGATTTTCAGTTTCACAAGTGCTTTTCAATTTCTAGTTATCCCAGAGAAAAAAATCTGCCAATCCAATTATCGTAATTTGGGTAACTTTTATCAATAAAGTGACAATCATACCAAACCTTTAGAAAATCAGTGTCTTAAGGCAAATTCGATTTTAAAAAATTGTCATTCCTTTTCAAAAAACTATGATTCGGTTTTTTGTTTTCTTGAATAGTGCGTCAGATTTTGAGCAGTTGTAGCAAGATCATATAAAAAAAACAGAGTTAATTCACATTTTTTGTCGCGGCTATGTGGTCGTTAATGAAGTGTCAATGAACAAAGTGAAGACACAAATTTAGATTGTGTGTTTTTTCATGAAAAATCTTAAAAGTTGATCATGCTCAAATTTTTTTTTTTCAGTTTGACATTTGATTCATTTTTAAGTTGATTTGGAATGAATTTGTTATAAAGAGTTTCAACTCTGTTTTTCCAGTACTTGCAAAAAAACGACAGAAGCGTGAAAATAAAGAAAAATCCTCAGCGAAAAGTCAAGTTATGTTCTAACAATTCATACATCTTTTTATTTAACCTTGCGATAAGCAAGGGTATTGCAATCGGGTACTAAACTTTTCTCCCGTAAACAACTTTGTCCACAGGATCACTCCTAGAGGACCTCCTCTTTACTCTTCTAGAGGATCTTCATTTCTTATGTTAAAGCGTTTAATTCTTAATTGTTCACTTCTTTACTTCTTAAGTGCAAGATCTTCACGGCTTAATTTGCAAGTGCAAGTATTATTTATTCTAGTTTCAGGGTGGAATTGAAAGTATAGAAAAATTATAAAATCTTTCTTCTAGAGTTAACTTTCAGCAAGACATGGGAAAATTTAATGTTTGGCAGACCTATTTTTTCAGTTTAAAAAAATTGATTTATTTTATTTTGTATTTTTGTGTTGTATCGCAAGTGGTGCGAAGCTCGTCTTCGCCTCTCTATTAACAACTCAAATGATCGATTCGCTAATTTCATCGGTTCTAAACAAAATGGCAATTTTTTTTTTGCTCTGCGACTGTAGCTAGTCTACGAATTGTATTCAATGTAGTTATATAAATGCGAATGGATCTCAGCTGATTCTAAGAAAATTACGCATCAAAAACTTCTTATTCACGAAATGTTGGCACGAACGTAAGATGGGTATTAATAGCTCCCAAATTGAATAGCTTCCCTTATGCATTGAGTCATGGCCATTCATAGCCATTCCGTCGCTTAGGCATGACCGCAAATTGCAATAAAGGTTGAATTTCATTCGCTTATTTTATTTATGCTGTTTGAACAGTAAACACTTAGTTCAACTGTTCGTTGTCAAAAAGAATAATTTTGGGACTCATGGGTCTGATTTTGCTTACCGGGAGTTATGAAATTTGATATCTATGGGAATTCGCCGCACAAATTATCCTCTGCAAAAATCCTCCTTTGGTTGCTAGTTTTGATTTTCTTAGTCCCTGGAGTGCCGGAATGTTGGTGGGGTCGTGAGTTTGGAGCCTCCATTTTTTGAATTATTTTGAGACATTTTCCCCAAATTTTGATTCCAAATTAAAAATTTTAGTGGAGGATGGCATGGCTATCATAGAAGATTACGTGCAATGTATCCTTATGGATCCCCATTTTGAGTTCTTGAAAGAGCAGAAAGCGTCATCCTCAACCAAAACTTCTGATTCACAAGCTGATTTGACATCAGCAGAGAAGAAGGAAACGTCGTCAGCTGATGATTCAGGTTACAAGGCACAGAAGGAAGATAATATGTCATCGATATTGGTTCTAGATTCGTTGCAGGTTTCAATGAGGAAAGGAACCTTCGATGCCCGATCAAGAGAGGTAGGTTTGCTTCGTTTAAAATATTCTGGGAAAAAAAGGGTTTATATCAGTTTTGCGTTGACTATCTTATCTCCAGTTCTCCAATTTTATTTAACCAATCAAACAAAAAAGAACACATTACAAAAATCAAGGTTACGTCGAATAATTGTTCGGTCAAAAGGAAATTTCAGCATATACATTCTGAAGTTTTAATTACAAGCCTTGGTGTTTTTGTCCCGATTTGTTTTTGGTACCGTAGAGCCAGAACTAGTTAACGTGTAATATGTCTCTTGTGCTGAATGAAAGTGAAGCAGAGTGAGCCGGTCGTTAGTTGGCATATCGTCTGTACTCGATAGTTAAACAGTGTTTTTACGCTCGCGATTAGCAAGCGTTATCAAAATGGAATATAGTCTTTTTTTTTCTAGTTAACAGCTAGTTAACAGAATCATTTGATAGCTTGCTTTATTAATGAAGGTAATTTTCAGGAAAATGTTGGACCAGTAGTGTGGTAAGGAACGGGGATATGTCGCGAAGGATCAAGAGTTCGAATCCGAGACCATGCCAGTTTTTTAACTCGATTAACGTAATTCAGACTCTTACATAGGTCGCGATGATTGTTTTTTGTTTTTTTTTGGAAAAGTCAGTAAATTTGTTCAGGCTCAAATTTACTTTTTCGAGGTTTGACTTTTGATTTTTTCTAAGTTAGTTCAAGTCCTTTGGTAAAAGGAAGGCAAACTACACTATCGAATGTAAAATCACGAAAAACGTGATCAACTTCTAATTTTGAAATGAAATTTAATTATGGGATTTCCCAGCGGACTAAAAATTTTATCCAATGATCCAGTTTTCTCAAATTGGGTTAGTTTTATCAGAAAATTGCTATTTATAAATTTTCTAGAAATTCGAAAAGGTTGAAGGACATTATTTTTTTCTTCGAAATTTGAAGTTTGAGATTTTTTCAAAACTTAAGTCAGTGTTTTTTTTGCGTTCATTTTTTTCCAACTGTCAGTTGGCTATGTTCATTACACCGAAGACTTTAGTCAAGGTGTTATGGTATCGTGTAACGGTTTTTTTTTTAATGTTGTCTGTTGTCAAGTGTCGACAAATAACGTCCACAGTTATCAATTATCATGTGGGCTGGACTATATCGCGCTATGTCACGTGATTGCGTATGTTTGTTTCTTTATTTGTTCATCTTTATTTATTTAATTATCTGTTCTTCTATTTATTTAATTATGTTTAGTTTGCTTATATTTATTTATAATTTATGTATGTACATATTTATTTTTGTTTATTTTTATCACGTGTTTTGTTTATTTATTTAATTATTCTTTCTTTCATTTAGTTTTGTTTTTATTATTTCTGCGTGTGTATTTATTTAATTTATTTATTTTCATTTATTTATATTATGGGTCTGTTTGTTTGGTTATTTGTTCATATATATTTTTTCATGTCTATTTAATTATTTGTACATTTCACTTTTGCTTTTATTTATTTATTTATTTATTTATTTATGTATTTATTTATGTATTTATTTATTTATTTATGTATTGATTTATTTTTTTATTGCTTATTTATTTATCAGGTGTGTTTTGTTTATTTGTTGATATTTATTTCTATATTTATTTAATTATTCTTTCTTTCATTTAGTTTTGCTTTTATTATTTATGTATGTGTATTTATTTCATTTATTTATTTTCATTTATTCATATTATGGGTCTGTTTGTTTGGTTATTTGTTCATATATATTTTTTCATGTCTATTTAATTATTTGTACATTTCACTTTTGCTTTTATTTATTTATATATTTATTTATTTATGTATTCATTTATGTTTTTATTTATTTATTTATGTATTGATTTATTTTTTTTTTGCTTATTTATTTACAGGTGTGTTTTGTTTATTTGTTGATATTTATTTCTATATTTATTTAATTATTCTTTCTTTTATTTAGTTTTGCTTTTATTATTTATGTATGTGTATTTATTTAATTCATTTACTTTCATTTATTTATATTATGGGTCTGTTTGTTTGGTTATTTGTTCATGAGATATATATTTTTTCATGTTAATTTAATTATTTGTACATTTCAGTTTTGCGTTTATTTATTTATTTATTTATTTATTTATGTATGTATTTATTCAGTTTCTATGCCTTCGGTGTATTGCGCGTAGCGCCTATGTTTATAGTTGCAAGTTTGCAAGTATTCTTCATTGTGTTTGTAGGGGACCTGAAACTTTTTTACAAAATCATTTTTTTTCGCTCAAGTGGTGTCTGCTCAAAAATTGTCGGCTTTGTTTTCGCTTCGTCAGTTTTGTTCCGTTGTTGATTTTAAATTCAAATGTTTTGCTTGGCATGTACTTTTAATGTTTTTTTATGTTTGTTGTATCGCAAGTAATGCGAAGCTCCGCTTCGCTTTTGTGTTAAAAAAATATCGACTCTTCGACGGTTGAACTATTTGACAAGCCATTTTTTTCTTGATCTAAGTTCTTTTGAATTTTTTTGCGTTCAATTTCATTATTGAATTTCGACCAATTTCTGGTTCTGAAAATGAAAAAGTGTTAAAGACAAATGAAAAAGGTTCATTGGTACCAATTTGATCAGTATTGTTGGACTATAAATAAATAAAAAGTTGCATAAGTTCCATAAACTGTCCAATTGGTCAAAGACTACCAAGTCGTATATGTTTCAGCTTTTTTCGATCCTAATTCTGCTTGCAGCTTCCTGGCAGCGAAAACAGGCGCTAATTGTTTTGAATAAAGTTTCTACCTCTTTTGACAAAATTGCAATACAATGGCGCGACTGAGAAGGTCACTATTTTGCTGCTGTTTTTTTTTCTGTTTGATCATCAGACAATAAGTTGAACTATTTGCTGACTGAATATGCGACAGATCAGAATTCGAGTTCAATAATTTTGCGACTTATCGGACTCATTTTCTATTCTGCGCTTTATGAACGTACTGAGAATCTAAGGGCGTACTGAGAACTCACGTGTTTCTAAAATTGTTAGAGCTCTTTATAATTATGTTTACCTTCGATTTAATCGTTTTTTTTAGAGAAAAAATTGAGGCAACTTTGGTAATTAGTGTACTACTTTTGTTGCTCGCTAAAGTTTGTTATGCCAAGTTCGGAGAGTAGTTTTTATGTTTTGACTGATCGAAGTGACAGTTAAAGAAGTATTCCTTGTTTTTCGTGTCAGTGTTCACAGCTTTATAACTTCTTGAGTTCTTGTTAAAGGCGAAAGCAAGTGTCTTGTAACTACTTTTTTTCCGTAAACAACTTTTCTTACATCTGAAGTTGAATTTGAAGTTAATTTTTTTTAGTGAACCAAAGAACCTTCGAGACTGCTTCCCACTTGGCCTAGAGGTAACGCGGTTGTCTGTATGCACTAAGGTCTTGGGTTCGAGTCCTGGCCGGAACTTGTTTTTTTGTTTAGTATTTATCTATTTTAAAAAAATTTCCGGGAAAAATTGAATAGTCGGACTTTTGTTTGTCTGTTTATATTTTGTTGGCTTAGTTGCACCCTAAAGAGTTTTCTTGTGTGGTCAGCAATTGTTGTCGTAGTTTCAAGGATTTTTGTTGTATTCCTGTAATTTAAAAATTAATATCCCTGACTTTGTATATTTTTTTTTGTGTGTTTGTTTCATTCGGCTTGAATATTCTTCGCTTATGTTTTTTCGGCCTAGTTACCTTGATTTATGTTGCTTCAAGGGCAAAAAATGATTGCTAAAAAATCAGGTTGTTTGTCTTACAAAAGTTCAAAGTCTTTAAATTTAATTGTGCAAAAACTTTTCAGGACAACGCTTATTTAGGTCGTTTTCGGCTGAATGAGTAAAGAAGTAAAAAAGTAAAGCTATATTTTACGCTGTTTGTTGTTACTTGACTATTTTGTGTTTTTTTTTTTCACTTTTTCGCAAAATATATATATTTTTTTGATTTCGTTATTCTTTCTCAGTCAAGAGATGCGAAGTTCTGCTTCACCTCTGTGTAAAACTTCGTTTTGAAATGGATGTTTTTTTATTATAGAGAGTTGCAAAAAAGTTGCAAAAAAATATTATAGAGAGTTGCAAAAAAAATATATATTTTTTTGATTTCGTTATTCTTTCTCAGTCAAGAGATGCGAAGTTCTGCTTCACCTCTGTGTAAAACTTCGTTTTGAAATGGATGTTTTTTTATTATAGAGAGTTGCAAAAAAGTTCGGACAGACAGAATTAGTTAAAAAGAGCAACTGTCTAGACATCAACGGAAATTAAAACTGAAATAAACATAACATCGAAATTTCGACATTTGAACTTGGTCTGACAAAAAAAATTGTTGAGTAGATCCGAGTTTCGCTCAAAACCTATAACCACGGCGGGCAATTGCATCCGAAGCGTCGAACTGTTTCATAGTAAAATCTGGATGTTCTTTGCAGTATTTAAAATTGGCTAGCATAATCATCGGATAATCGACGATCTAGCATTTTGAACTTGGTCTGACAAAAAATTCAAGGTTGTTCGGCTTCAAATTTTGCATGCAAAAAAGCGTCGAAAAGCTCTGATTGCTCTTTTCGAACTTTTTGCTAGGTGTGTCCGAACTTTTTGCTAGGTCTGTCCGAACGTTTTGCTAGGTCTGTCCGAACTTTTTGCTACTAATTATAGTACTTGTATACTGAACTGTCTGTATTTTACGATTTTTTCATAAAAGGTTTATCTTGCCTCTAAGATCGTAACAGATATCCGTTCCTTGAAATTTTTTGGGGCTCGTTTTAATGACATGATGGCGACCGATTATTACTCGAGCATCGATTGTGTCATAGTAGATGTGTCCATTTTTTACCTAGTTTGCTATTTCATTACTGTTTGTGTGCAAAGTTATTGTTGCATTGATTGTTTGAACAGCATAAGTTATCTGCCTGCTATATTATAGTTAATGCCAAATTGTTGGCAATATCGGTGACCTTTAATACCGGAATTTAATTGGTCAAAAAATGGTTGTTTTAGGTTAATTAGATATTTTGATATGACTTTTTACGTGCTCAAATAAAAAAAGCATATTCAGGCGTCTAATTGAGCAGTTTTAGGTTCAGATTCGTTGGCTGAAAAGGATATTGCCAAAAATTTGACATTAACTTTAAATTGCTATCCTTGCTGCGTGGTTTGTTAGTCTAGGTAGTGTGAATTAGTGGAATATGGGCCTAATGTAGAAGTATTAGGCGTAAGTTGCCAGTAGTGAGTTGTATGTGGTGTCTATGTAGCGGCATGTTGAGAGTGCGAGCTCCAAATTTTTTTCAAGGCCTAGTTTTGCATCTAATTGCATTATCATGCCTTTCTATTTGCTCATTTTTCCTCTGGGCGCTCAGCTAAGCAGCTTAAAGGATAAAAATTTGAAACGGAAAGTATAAGCAGTAGTGTAATTGAAATAACGTGCGAAAAATTGTTTTCTACGCTGTCGAATTTAAATTTGGAAATGTTTGTTTCAGCTGTGCATGCGTTTGAGCAAGTCGCTCGGATTCTCCCAGGCAGACTACGAGATACACGAGGCATCCTTCGTGGACTTCATGCAGAGTGCAGCTGAACAGTACCAGATGTCGACTGAGGAGAAGAAGGCACAAGAGGCATCCAAGAAGAAAAGCAAGAGGAAAAGGTAACGCTCTCAACAACACTAGGATCTTTCACCCCGTCTCCTACCCGCAATTCTACATAGACATTTATTTTTTTGTCTAAGCAGTGGTTTTAAAAGGCGGTGTATGCAGTCAAAAAGTTTGAAAACTTTACTGCAATTCTGTAGGGCTCCCGAAACTATGAACTTTTGAGTATCTAGACTACCTTTCCATCGAATTAGATCCATAGACCGCCTTGGCAATCATATTTAACCAACTACTGCCTTCATAATTATTTGTTTTTCTAAAATTTTTGAGTATGAAAAATGACGTTATTGTAATTAGATTTTGCTCCAGGTATTTTGCGATTGGATTGGCAGCTGTGGGAGGGGGAGCACTGATTGGATTGACAGGGGGACTGGCGGCACCCTTCGTCGCAGGTACGATCTCTAATTGTGATATCTTACACACCTTTTGTATGGCAGCTCATTTTGTCTGATTTCTTCTTATCTGCGGACTTTTAACGCTCATTTTTGATAGAAACCTGCATTTACTGCTTTTTAAGTCCCGCTTTTTTAGATTATTATTTTTTCCCATTTTCTGAATTGCTTCTATGTCTTAGAAAAGATCTATTTAGCTTGAGCAGGTGTTTGAATTTAAATGTATAATAGTCGAAGCTATTCGTTGGTTTTATTTGTGTTTGTGAAATAGTAACCTATTACTAAAATTCTTACTAAACTGAAACTAAAATAAGAACTTGAATCCAAAATGAATTATCAGATTATTTGCTGAATGAGTTGTGTAACTTGTCTAGTTTCAAATGAAAACGTTACTGATCTTTCGACAAATAACAAAAAGTGAGCAACTTCAGTTCAACTTCTTCATCAATATGGCAAATTTGGGATACCTGTCTCGGCCTTGACAACGCAAATCTCATTCTACTTAAACAACAATGTGTAAACATTAGCCGTCATATTTCGCCCTCTAGCAAAAAATTCATTCAAATTGAAGAAAGTTAACGTAACTAAATGTAAACAAAACTGCTTCTGTCAGAGCGAAGCCCTGATTGTTCCGACTGCCTTTTAAGGTTTATGGAGCAGTAATAACATAAATATCATTAACAAATTAAATTTAAAAAAAAACATGGAAAATTTTTTTTTCTAAAAATTGAAATTTTTTTCCATGAAAATCATCCCCCCACACGCCATATAAACTATAAAAGAATAGATTACGCTCCTTGTAACAAACCACTTATGGCAAGCAAGCTTCTTTCAACCAATTTAGAACGATTTCTAAGACGGATTAACTCTCCGCTGACGCGTTAATAGCGCGAAATATATCTCGCGTAATTGTCCCAAATTGGCCAAAATGGCAATCTTTAAACCCTCATAACTTTGTGAAAAATGATCACAGATGAAATATCTTTTTAAATTTAAGCTCAGGACAACAATACTTTTGGAATGATATTTAAAAATTCCGTCAAAAATGGCTAGTTAAAAAGTCGAAATTTGTCTGAAGAAAAAAAAACACCCCGAGCACAAATATTCCGTTACTTTCGTATCGAAAGTCGGAACAACAAGACTACTCGTATCGGGGCGAAGCCCTCAAGGTTCCGACTACCTTTTAAGGTCTATGGAGCAGTAATGACATAAAAAATTTTAAATGTAAAAAATAAATCTCCGCTTACGCGTTAATAGTGCGAAATATATCGCGCGTTAATTGTCCCAAATTGGCTAAACTGGCAATCTTTAAACCCCCATAACTTTTTGAAAAATGATCACAGAATAAAAAACATATTTTCAAATTTAAGCTCAGGACAACAATAGCTTTAGAATGATATAAAAAAGTTCAGTCAAAAATGGCTAGTTAAAAAGTCGAATTTTGTCTGAAGAAAAAAAAATTACGAAAGTCGGAACAATAAATAGTTTTGTTCATAAGTTTCAGTTCTTCTTAGTATGCTTTACACTGCGAGCTTGAGAGCGTAGTATATTAGCACGAACCTTCTGTTTTCCAACCTAACTCGCAAATAAAAGTGTTCATTAAAAGGGTTCACTTCTATGGTGACACTTTGCTGTGGTTACGATCGGTAGCATCGGAAATGTCATAGCATATGTTTTCTATTTATTTTGTTGCTATTGTTTGTTTATTAAGCGTCTGTGGCTGAGTGCGTGAGACTCATAAACTCTCAGTCGCTGATCGCATCGATATAGAGCTGCTTTCCTTGTTTGTCGTGTTCTCGCTAGAGTTTGCGAAGCGCAGCTTCGCCTTTATGTTAAAATTAATCGCATCTTTCTACGGGTTGAAGGCGTGGGGCCTATTTCTTTTGCCGATGCAGGAATTTTTGCATCTCTAATGCTTGATGATTGTGAAGATTCTTTCGCCTCAATGATTGTGAAGATCCTTTAGCTTCCTGGTGACCTAGAAGATGTAGATGTAGCGTTGTCATCTTGACCCTGCTGGGACATGACTGGGCTTGACTCTGGAGTGGCGGGCTTGGATGGTTGGGAGAATATGACTGGACATTCTCTGAGGTGTATTTCTTTGTTCTTGAAGTTCATTAGCGGACGACAATAGAACCAACTTTGAAAGGTCTGAGGTTGTATGTACAATGGGCTTTGTCTACTCTTTCAAAAAGCTGGTTTTTTGATAACCTGTTTCAGAGAAGATTTGTTGTCCTGGCTTATACGGTTGCTGGCTCTCGTTTGGCTGCTGAGTACTGATATGGGCCTAACTCGATGTAGGCTTCTCGGTTGGAGAAGATTCGGCTACTGGTATAGGGAGGAATCATCCCTCATGAACTTGATGAAGATCGGTTGAGTTCTACTACTGGAGCTGATGTGTGCCTCTGGTCGATTTAGGATCGATTGCGCTGAACTTCGAAGTTAATTGCATAAGTGGAGGCGGGTTTGATGTGCTTGACTCGCCCATAAGTCCACGTTTTGGGTGCCTTGTATGAAATTCGGGTGTGTTCCCCTGGCTATGTGAATGATATTTCCGGAAATTTTTTGACCTGTACTGCGAGGGGCTTCGAACTTTGATCTAAAACTGTTTGACAGTTTTTCCTTATTCTAATGGATAAATAATTTTTTTTTTCTGTTAACAGTCTCTTTATGTGTTATATGCGTGCTATTTGTGACTTTTTGAACTCATTATTGCATATTTTAAATCATTTTTACCCCTATTTCCGGTCCGAAACTTTCTGGAATACTTCTACTTTGGCTCACAATTTTAACTGCGTTTTGTTGAAAGTAATTGCTGAATATTACTATTTGACAAAGATGGCCCAAGTGTGCCTGAAAGGATTCTCATTGTTCCTGTCGTGTGTTTGTTTCGGAGTGATAGTGCTAGCACCTGACTTTGGTCCATGAGCGTCCTCAACGCTTTGACTGATTCCTGCGACAATATCTCCTTTTGAGCGATATCTATCCATTCTTTGGCTGTTTTAGTTAAATTCCCTAGCGCCTGACAATGCGGGGTGTCTGATCTTACTTTGAACCGGGGCGAAACTTCTCCGTGCTTGATTGTCCCTATCGAATCATTTTTACTCTAAGCCCAATTTCACAGGCTACTTGCCTCGGTCGCTCTTCTAGGGTTAGCTTATCTCTTGTGAGTTTTTCTTGATCTAAATAATTTTTCACTTGTATGTCTTCACATTTGCCCTGAAGTATCGAGAGTAAAACAGCCAGTTAAAGAGAAGTGACGCAACTTGTTGTGTGGGTTTTCCTGGCGCGAACAAAGAAATATGTAAAATTTGGCACAATAATGGAGCTCATAATCGTTTTTATTTCAGTTTTCTGTGGTTAAAACCACTATTCAAGGGTATGAAAAAAACTAAATAAATAATTTTCAGTGTCCGAAAATTTTAAACGTCGTTTTGTTATAGTATAGGTAGTTGTAAACAACCTTTACATAGTTAAATCGTTAAAACTACTGCTAGCGTTTAAATAGTATTAATTTCTGTGGCGATGAAAAAGTAACTTGCTCCTCCTTAGGTGGCATCGGGGCTCTGATTGGGGGCGCGGGTGCTGCTTTCATGGCGTCCACTGCGGGACTGGTGGTGATCACGAGTATCTTCGGCACTGGAGGAGCGGGACTCGTTGGCTACAAGATGAAGAGAAGGGTGGGAAATGTGGAACAATTCGAATTCACTTCTCTCTCGGACAAAGTTGGTTAGATTATTTGAACTGTTCGTACATGTAAAGCGAAGTCTATTACGCAGCATCGTTATTCTACAGCGCAATTTTGATGCATCCCAATTGCGCGCCAAAATAACACTTTTAATTTTTCAATTATTATGAAACCATTATGACGGCATAAATTATGCTAGAAAATTATGCAGATCAATAACTGTTTTAATTTTCAATAATTATGAAACCCTTTTGAGAGCATATTTATGCTCCAAGTTACACATAGCATAAAATTGTTTCTGATTGCTGAATGGTAAGTTTCCGAGACAATGGGAATCACATCGATTAAATGCAGTCAGTGAACGGGCGCCGTATTCACTTGTTTAAAATCTAGATGCAACGTGTTTGATGTGTTAAGGTCTACACGTGGCCATCGCGATTCCCGGCTGGTTGCGAGAGGGAGAGGTCATTTCTCAGCAGTGGGCCGCCTTGGACATATCACCCGAACAGTACTGTCTACTCTGGGAAACCAAGTTTGTTCAACCAAGTTAAATTTTAAGGAGGGCTGCAAACTCTTCAAACAAACATTTAAATAATTTTGGCTCCTCTGAATTCCCGAGGAGCTATCAGTAGGCCTTAACTTGTGTGTTTAAGGATAGTCCATTAGTATCGTTTCCCACACTTTCGAAACTGAGTTATTTGTTTGGTGAGCGAAGCTTTTTTGCGACTCGAAGCCGTCTTTTTATACATCTAGATTTTTCACGTGTTACAACTACTGCAGCCGAAATGGACCAGGCTGTGGTAGATCTGAAGCTAGAGGTCAAGAGAGCTCATCCTCCCACACTATGATTATCATGACCGGGAGTCGAATACACGATCTGACGTTCTGAAAGTGAACTCCTTACCGCTATGCTAAGTGGTTTCTAATGCTCTCTAGCTTAGTAGGATGCTCAGAATGTTTAATAACTTATTCGATTCTTGCTTTAAAGTCGACTAAATGCAAATTTGGTTGTCCAGAAACAGTACGGAAACTATTATTAGGCTGTATGCAATTTTTCGACGACCTAAGACGAAAATGTTGTTTTGAAAAGTTTTTTGACGGAATTCGGAGACAATTTGGTAATTTGGTGTTGTTGATTGGCTGCACTGGATAATTTGACAAAAATTTGGTTTTGGAATAGCTAAAAACTTGATACAGTTTTCGAACTCCTTTTACGTTGATCTCTCCTCTAGGTACCTGTTGGAGTTGGGATCCAGTCTGCAGTACTTGAAGGACATGGTGGTCAATGCGGCCATGAGCCAGGCTCTGAAGCTCACTGTGCTCAGCAGTGTCATGGCAGCCATAGCATGGCCAGCAGCTCTCCTCAGCGCATCATCAGTCATTGACAATCCATGGTGAGCAGAAACAAAGTCGACGCACTGATAATTTAATAATCTCGTTGCATAATCAATAAAGTTGACGCAACTATGCTAATTCGTGTCTCGATTCGATACGTCGATTGAGTTGTTGCAACGCTCATTTTCGCCTTTTTATCTTCTTGTCATGATACTTCACTTGTGATAAGTTTTCAATCGTCATTGCAAGGCTCCTCTGATATGAATTAGGACAAAAACAGAAGGTAGGAGCGTTTTTTTATATATTTCGAAAAAATGGAAGTGTCGTTTCCTTTTTAAAATTTCATAGGGTAGGGTACGGATTCTATTTCATGCATTTCTTGCATTTCTTATTCATCCTTCATTTTATCTTTTCCACTGTTGTTCAGGTCAGTGGCCAATAGTAGGTCTGTGCAAGCTGGTAAGCAGCTGGCAGAAGTGCTGCTCACCCGGCAACACGGCTGTCGTCCGGTCACGCTGGTAGGGGTCAGTCTGGGCGCCAAACTCATCTACCAATGTCTCGAAGAAATATCATCCAGAGGTAGATTTGTTTATTCGATATTCTATGGTATATAAAAGTGATTTTTTTGTATAATTGATTGAATTTAACGCCATATCCGGTCAGTTTATTGAGTATAATGAAAGACTTGTATAACCTAAAATCGTAAAATCCAACTAACGTATGACGTATAATTTTTTTTTTTCATTTTTTTTCTGTTTTTGTTCAATATGAAAATTAACGTTGTCGGTTATGCCTTGCTAAGTTTCTACTCGATAGCATAGCTCTTGAATCATGAATCACGCCAATCACTAAATTAACATTAATTTGAAGAACAGTAAAAAAAATCTATTTTGTTTTTATTTGGTCGGAACCTTCTGTACTACTTGCACAGGAACCGGCTAGAATACACTAAACCCCACATAAAAGTAATTATCTGCCTATTGAATTATTTAGTACAATAGAATGATGGGAGCTATGAGAGGGTTTGATACTCTGGATTTTGGTTACTCTGGAGTTCCTGTTCAAACAGGGGTTGTGTTTCATCTAAATTTGAAGTTGATATTTTATGATTAGGTGCTTCTGCTTTGGGCATAATCCACAACATAGTGCTCATTGGTGCTCCCTGCAGTGGCCGGCCAGAAGACTGGGTCAAACTGGCTCCTCTCATATCAGGACAAGTGAGTAGTCGTTCTCATCCATATCCTCATCACACCTCACTGGTTCGTTTATTTCGCGCGGTGTCTCACCTAATCACTAAAGAGAAAAGGTGTTGATTGAAGGCTGACCCATATCTTTGACCCATATCTTTTTGTCCCATATCTGGTTAACACACAATCTATAGTAGTTTTTGGCTGCTATCTGACACCTGCATTTATAAGTGCGATTATTTATTATCTTCTGCAGCATGCAGTTTGTGGTTTAATTTCACTGGTAGTAGGTGTTCTGTGGCATAGCGTATTTTAAAGGAACATATTTTGTTGAGCACTACATGTTCTTCAGGTCATCAATGCTTTCTCACAAGGCGACTGGATGTTGAAGTTCATCTACCGCTCCTCCTCTCTAAGGGCCAAAATAGCAGGATTAGGACCCATTCCACTGGAGCCAAAAATTGTCAACATAGACCTCACAGAAGTCATTCAGGGACATCTGGACTACCTGGAACGGATGCCAGAAGTACTCTCATTTTGCGGGGTCAAGTGCAAAGCGGTCAAGCAGATGCTGAACAAGTTTTCACTTAGTGGCAAAAATTTGGCGTTGGAGTCAGGCGAAACAGCAGGTTCTTCAGCATCAAAATCAGAAAAGGAAACCTCAAAATCAATGAGAAACTCCACTTCTTTTAGTAATGCTAAAACAAACAAAACGACTGATGGCAGCGAAAAAATTGTGAAAAGCAGTTCTTATAATTAGAGACATATACTGTTTCATATCCATAAGTTTGCCTCAAATTTATGGCAGCTGTAAATTCGGCCTATCTACGTGTAAAGATAGTTAGAATCGGTTTTTATCTTGATGGTGCTGTATGCTCAAGTTCAATGTTAATATATATTCTTAATAACTTAATTCAATTGCCCTAGCGATTAGTAAATGTAATGCAACCTGGTTCTAGAATTTTTTCCAGCTAGCACAGTTTCACAGAATTCTCTAGCGATTGAGTACATGCTTCATTACCCTTGTGATAGTAAGGTTATTGCAATCGGTTAGTAGGATTTTTTCCGTAAATAACTCTAGGCACAGAATGGTCAAACTTATATATGGTAAATTTAGGTTCAGTTCTTAATTCATTCTAATTTCTTTGTCTCTCCGGCACACTTGGTCTGAAGGTAAAGAATACGCGTGGGACCTTGAAAGTTCCTGATTTCGAATCTGACAGAACTTGTCTTTGTTTCAAACAAGAAATATTCTGTTTCGCAAAAAAAAATTGTCGGCTCATTGTTTGTCTGCTTATATTTTGTCAACTTAGTTGTCATTGTTGTAGAATTGTTTTTTTTTACATAATAGTTGCTTTAAGTGTTCTAATTTACATCAAAAACCTTATGCTGCCCTAATGATTTCGGCGTATTTTTTATTGGCTTAGTGATCTAATTTTAATTCGTTTCAATGAAAGCAAAAATTTTTTGCTCACTTTGAATCGCACAAAATGCTAAAAATCTTATTAGAAATTCTTTCAAGTTTTTCATGACCAGGTTTTTTTCGGCTGTTTTGGTTTTTTCTTCTACTTTACTTTCGGCTTGATAGGTTTTGACCTATATTATATCGGATCGGTTTAATGGCCAGTTTTGCTTCTGTATAATAAGTTCAAATCCAGGTCAATAAGTGCAAATAAATTCAAATCAAGAATAGCCAGCTGCCTTGCAAGTAGCACAGAAAGTTAGAACTTCACTAGTTAGATTTCTTATCTGAACAACTGCTTCAGCGATTTTCAAAAACTGATAGCAATGGAAAAACTGGCTACTACTGTGCGTCTTTTTTATTCTGTTTCCACCTCACTCCAACTTCAACTGCTTTCGATAATTTGAACTGGGGGTCTATTTTTGAAGAGTTTTTTTTGAGTTTATAACTGTTTTTTGGAAGTTTTGACTTTTCTCGAAACCTACCCTGCCAAGTCTGATGTCGAAGTTTTTGCATAATGAATCGTTTTTGAAATCTATTCTACAACAGCTGATTTACCCTATTTTTGTAGGAAGAAATTAATTGCTTTTGCAAATGTCAAACTTTTGAAACATTGACTATTTATTAGACAATTTTTGATTTTCTCGAAAATTAAAGCGTTAAAATTTAGGTTAAGGGTTCTTTCGAGATACCCGTTTGTATGTATTCTCTCTTTTTGGGAATTTTCCAAGGCTTCTACAAAATTTTTGGCCTCAAAAAGGCCAATTTTTTTGACATTTTGGAAATATTTGAAATTTTTTGAAGTTTGCTCGAAAACTACCCAGACAAATCTAGGATTTAAAGCCTAATCAAAAAAAGATTGTGCGATCTTTCCTATAGAAACGGCTACACCCTAATATTTAAGTTGAAAAAATTGACAGTTTACGCGATAAGGTCAAAATTTTAATCATTTGACTTTTTTTGTGAAAACTTTTTGACTTCTCTCAAACTACCCTACCAACTTCTAAATAAATAGTTGAATAGACGAATTTTTTCAATACATAGGCTGGTATGCCCTGTTTTCAGAAAAATCAATTTGCTTATTTTTGGAACCGTTTTTCCGAATGGTTTTTACTATTGTCAAAAGTTACTCCAGCAAATCTGAGACTGAAAGTGAGCCACTTTTGTTTTAACCATAACTATTTATCTACTGCAAAAAACAGAGTTTTGTTGCAAACTTTGCCCTGCAGAAGCTGCTGTTCCTTACTTTATGAAAAAGTGTTAACGTCCTTATTAAAATACCAGTTTTCGAAATGTTTACCAGTTTTGCAAACTTCACTATTTTCGAAAACTACCCTGCCAAATCTGAGGTTTAGATGTCAATTGAAAAAACCAGTGCTGATAATCTTCCTTTTTTGTGTGCCTCTTTTAAGTGCTTCCGCGATTTTAAGTTCAAACGAAAAAAAAATATATGTTAATTTCTTTGAAGCAGCTCTGCTATTTTTTTAGAACGTTTTAAATTACTTTTGAAATTTGGGTTTTGTTTTTTTTCTCAAGTACTGCTCTGCCAATTCCGAGTTTAATAATTTATCTTAAAAAAACTATCGACAAATTTTTACTGCATAATCCGTGTTACCTAATTTTAGTAGAAAGGTAGGTATTGTTTAAGACAAATCTACTTCGAAGTTTTTTTGTTTTCAGTAATTTTTTTAGCTTTTATTATTCAAAATACGCTTAATTTCATTATAACATGTTTCAAGTTTGCAATTTCGAATTTTAATTTTTTTCCGGACAGTTAAAATGAATACAGCATATCAGCTTACATTTATATCAGCGATTGTTTGATTTCCTTCGCAATTCACTCTGAACAGCTAATCTCAGCTAATTGAATCTGCAGGCAGAAATTTTATTTCAAGAGCATGAGATTTTCAATTTGGTCCAGACGGGAGACAAAAATAGTCCACATTACGAGGCCAAACTGTGCATTCAGCGCACTGTAAGCGGATTCAGCAACAAGTCCAAATCATATCTGTCGCAGAATCCGCAACCTTGCTACATTTCTTTGATCTCCTTTGCTGTTTTGGATTCCACAAACAAAAACCTAAAAAACTAATTTTCAAAATCGCTCGGAAAATAGGCGAATTTGCGGAATCCGCAACATTATTTGCGGAATCCAGAACAATTTGTGGAATCCACAAACAAATAATGCGACATGTGCATAGTTGAATTGAGCTGTTGCGGAATCCGCAACTGTAAGTGAAATCCGCAAACTGTAAGTGGAATCTGCATTTTGTTTGCGGATTTCGTTTACATATATGTATGTGCTCCCAAATACTGAATCTCAATTACAAAATCTCAAATACTGAATCTCAATTACTGAATCCCAAATACTGACCTAATTCGGCGATATGTCAACCCAATAATGAATTAACCCAAATACCGAATTCACCTAATGAATTTATTGGGTGTTGTAATTCCAAAACTATGATCCTAAAAACTGCTTGCAAATACTGAAGTGTGACATCCATCGATTTACTTAACCAATGCTTTAAGATTTGTTCGTGGATTCCGCCGGCAATGGTTAAGTCCTTGCTTTTAAATTCCTCAAGTGCATATGCAAGTTCAGTAATAAACAAATTTCTGAGTTCCTTTACAGTTTGCTGATTCCGCTTCCAAGTTTTGCGGATTCCACTTACATTTGCGGATTCCACTTACATTTTGCGGAGTCCACTTACAGTTACGGAATCCAGAACAACTAGCTATATTTGATGGTTGCGGAATCCGCAACAGGTTAAATGCGCCGACAGATTTTACGTTACAAGTATATGTACGCGGAATCCACCTAAATATTGTAAGTGGAATCCACTTAGATTTTGGAACATGTTTAAAAACTTGTCTCTGGAATCCAGGAACGAACAGACACAAAATTAAGCGCCCATCCAGTGCACAATTTTGCCTCGAAATGCAATTGCTTAGTTCTTATCAATCGGCCAACAGTTTTTCTATTCTGCATAACAACAAATTCAAAAGAGTGTTTGTTATGAAAAACGATGTTCTTTTTCGAGAATTGATCATTTTTACACACTTTATTTGTTTTGGCAATCTTATCAATTTTCATCAGAATGCACAATGTAAATGTTGTTAAAGTTTTGAGTTATAATATTACATAAATTTTTTGATGTTTTTCGATTGAGTGAAACTCTGAATAATGTGGCGTAGCAAAAAGTATGCGCAAAAAAAGGCCGTATGTGCTGCTTTTTCTTTTATCGTAGTGTTAATTAGTTCATATTTTTCCTACTCCTCTTTCACTTTTCTTTTTTCAGTAGTCCAGATTGAATTCGTACGTATTTAATTAGAATCGCTTTATTTGAGTGACTCCTAATGTTTGCAGTTTTTATCAATAAAATAGAGTTTTATCGAGGTTAATTGGTTAAGTTCATAAGGTTTTTAAAAAAATTGAAGATCAGACTCATCATCAAACGCTGCCGAAAAATTTCTCGTTTTTCGTGGACTTCGTAAAGTTTCCTGTAGAGATCAGATAAGTTTGTATTGGGTATATTTAGGACGACTGAAGCTGGGGAAAAATCGATGAATTTAATTATGAATTACAAAGGGTTGCACTGTTTAAAGAACGGGTGAAATGCTGGACTTTAAATCTCATTTGATTAGGTTTTCAAAACTCTGTTTTATATAACGACCCTATTTTTCATTAAGACCATATATTTTTCTATAACTCATTGACAAACGCGTTTTGCCTGTTGAAACTTATTCAATTAAAAGTCGCTGGATTCAAGGGGTGTTCAAAGGAAGCTAGTCATTTTTTGTCGCTGGAATTTAGATTCCTTGTAGTTTCAAAATCTGTCAAAGATTCTCAGAAATTATCGTTCGATTCTTCAAAAATACTAAAATACCATGGAATTGCAATATAAGTGTGCCAAGTTCAGCAAAATGGCTAAAATGCACTGACAAACTCTGGAGTCCGGCGAGTTTTTTTAAATAAAAAATATAAGTACTTCATTAGACACAGCACTTGGAATTTAAAACAAGCATGACTCAGCATTTGCCTGCAAATTTTTTTTCTCTGGATTCTAGAATTTTTCTCGTTAGCCAAAATCAGCGTAGGGTTTTATCAATTGTCCTTTGATTCCATTATTGTTCCGACTTTCGATACGGAAGTAACGGAATATTTGTGCTCGGGGTGGTTTTTTTTCTTCACAAATTTCGACTTTTTAACTAGCCATTTTTGACGAGATTTTTTTTTACCATTCGAAAGGTATTGTTGTCTTGAGCTTCAATTTGAAAAAGCATTGAGAAAGCAACCAGATTTGACGTATTGACGACTGAGTGTTTAGAAAAACGATTTTAGGCAGAAATTTTTGAACAGCTTCTTTTATGCACATTTAGTAGTAAGTTAAGTAAGTTAAATCCAACCATCGTGACATAGAAAAAGTTGTCAGCTCTGGTAACGAAAAAGGGAGTGTGTGATCTTCGTTTCGTATATCCTCC